TATATATATATATAATGCGGTCTTGCGACGATTACGTGGTAAAAGCAATCAACTGTTAAAAATTCAATTTTCATTGTATTATTTTGCTTCGAATATGATTGCTTCTATCAATTTTTTCATTGTGAAGATCTAGACTCAATGAAAATCACAAGCAATGGGAACAGCTGAAGATAACAGACAATAGATTTCAATTTATCAGAAATGACAGAAATTGAGTATCAATGCACAACAATTTCTTGCAGGTTGAAATCTATTATCGTGTTTTTCATTGTGTCTGAGCTCTTAAGGAAATTAATAAAAGCAATCACTTCCGGCAAGAAACAAAATAATGCAATGAATTGAATTTTCATCGAGTGTTGAAACTTTCTATAGTCTTGAAAAAAAACGAATATCGAGATGTCAATCGGGCTTCTTTTTCTTTGCATCCGATCGTTTTGATTTATTAAAGTTGAAGACGAGCTCTCGGAGCTCTTAGCTTCGCTTGCCTGACGAGAAATAGAAATTGCATCGCCATTTACGGAACAAGATCTATGTTAACGTAAGCCTCGTGTGTCATGTCAAATTCGCGTTGTTTTGTTACTTCAAGGTGGACTGTCTTTTCCTTTTCCCTGTCATGTCTCTTTTCTGACATCGGAAACTGGCGCGGCGGGTACAATAAAATTTATAACGTGATCGTCGCCTTTTGCTGCGTAATTCGATATTGCGGCACAAAGAATTCTTCTTTCTCTTTTCCTCGGATCTCTAGCTTTCTCAGAACGAAATCGTGGTGAAAGCGCTCCTCGAAGGTCGCTGTGGATGCATCGGAAGAACAGAATTATGCAGCTTCTGCTACACAAGGAAGAAGGTGTGCCAGCTATAAAAGATGCTCGAAAATATTGAGAAAAAAAATAAATGATAAAAGCTGAGCTAACTCAATGACATGCGTGTTTGTTTTGATGCTCTCACGCAACGCTCGCACGCTTCTCTCTTGGAAGGATTTGTAGGAACTGGATCAACGTTTTTCAATTTCTTCTCAAGTTTCTGAAGAGTAAAAGACTGATAAAATGTAAACACTTTGAGAGCCCATTTTAGCAAAATAATTAACTTAATTTGAAATAATTACAATCACGAAATGCTCGCACGTTTCTCTTTTTGAAAGAAATTTATAGGCGCTGGATCAATTTTTCAATCTTTTCTTAAGTTTCTGAAGAGTAAAAGACTGATAGAATATAAACAAATTGAGGGTTAGCAAAATAATTCGCTCAATTCAAATAATTAAAAATCAGAAAAGATAAGCAGTTTAATTATCGAGAAGAGAGTCACGTGAGAAATATTTAATTCCGTAAAAAGAATGGTTAAAATATACTGCGGCAGAACGCTTCAGTATCTCACATCTGTCCTCTCCGCCCCAATTTCGAACGGTGCTTCGGGTACATCAAAGAAATGGACCGACGCGACGCGTTGGTGGTCGCCCCTAACAAGCCCTAACTCACTCAGAAATCTCGTGCCCAGACAAGCTGCCGCATCGATACGCGTTTCCACTGTCATTCCTTCTCACTTACTCACTCGTGTTCCAAAAGTAGCCGCATTAATGAATGTTCGACTTACTCGTCTATTCTTCGATCGAACAGAAACCTCGGGGACCTCTAACGTTAGCTCGTGCACTGAACGAACGTACAGGCGTTGGATGCGTGGCAATCTTCGTCGCGTCCTTAATAATGGTCGCAACAAGCGGAAATCGAACAAGGTGTTTGAAACGTGAACGGTGAACGTCGGAGAGATCGCGTAAACCTCACACCTCACAATGTCGCAGATCAACTGAAACGGCGCCGTCGGGCGGGGTCCTTATATCACCCTGGCGTCGGCCGCGTAGGTTGAAGGGAGAAATGGTGGGGAGAGATGCCGACAGAGTGGGGGAAGCGCGGTAACGAATTCTTCATCTGTCGACGCAGTACAGTATGCGCCTGCTCTTGCATCGCAGTGGTTCTCAACTTCTCAATGTGTACAGATTTCATACCTGATGTAACTTTCTCCGAAAAACTATTAGTAAGAATTAAAAATTAGGGACTATTAATAAGAATTAAAAATTTTTCTGTCTGTATAAAAGAAAAAAAATATATATATTACAATATTTTATATTAAAAACTTTATAAACAAATATATAAAGTGAGGCTCGAAAGAATCTATCGGTAAAAAATGTAAAAAAGCCCATCAGAGCCTACATCAGCTGTTCGGATGCACAGAAAATTCTTTATTTTCGTGTAAATGTAACAAAACGAATAACATAAATGTTTCAACCCTTCAATTCGGATCCTTATCAATATAAAATACAAATCGAAATTATTTGCTTGTAATTTCGATTTATATTTTATTCATAAGGACTCGAATTGAAGGGTCGAAACATTTATGTTATTCGTTTTGTTACATTTACACAAAAATAAAGAAGTTTCTGTGCATCCGAACAGCTGATGTGGATTCTGATGGGCTTTTTTACATTTTTTATTGAATAAAAACTTTATCTTAAAAATATTGTAAAATACATTTTTCGTTTTTTTTCCTTTTTAGAAAATGTTTCCTTTTAGAAAATGTTTTAAATTCGCTAAATAATATTCAATTAAACGAGTATTTTCTTTTAATGTATATATAAAGAAGAAATTATATTACAATATTCTTTAAAAATCATATTTGTTAAAAAAAACTGTAAAATACAGTACGTATTATTCTATTTTCTTTTTAAATAAATAGTTTTAAATTTCCTCAAAAATATCGAATTTAACGAGTATTAGAAATTTTAAAATAAAAAAGTTGTATGAGAGAAAATAAGTTTAGTTGGATAGTAGATAGTTAGATAGTAGATAAAATTGGGAGAAGAAACAAATTATGAGGCCTCATATCTCTCTCTCTCTCTCTCTCTCTCTCTCTCTCTCTCTCTCTCTCTCTCTTGAACACGTATTATTTTTTCTTCCCACTGACGCGGAGCTAATGTTCCAGCTCATTGGTCTTCGAAGTTCGCGGAACGGATATCGAATTATCGATTCCTTTACCGAAGCGAACGACTTTGAGTTCTCACGCTGCAGCGGCTTTCTCAAAGGGTGATGTCCAGATCCTTTGTACGATGGGATAGGTATCCTGGGAAAGCTCGCCGAATCATCCCCGAGGCTTTTCGAAAGCGAAATATGTATTAGCAATAAGAATAGAATAAGGAAATGTTCGACACCTCCTACACCGACGATTCTCACCTTTTGTAACACTGGTTGACATTTTCAAATGCCTAGAAAGCGTTAGGACAGATAATTTATAACAACAGTAATATTTATAGCGAGTATACTAAGAGTATGTACTATCGTATGTATGTACATCTGGATGATGAATAAGAAAACGTAAACTTTACGACTCGTCTGCGTTATCATTTTCCGGCAACTTTATCGCAATATCAATTTTATGTTTCTGCTACCATTATAATAAAATTATGAAACACAGAAACTAACTGATCTTCAAAATTAAATTTCTCTTACGTGATACTAAATAAAAAAACAAATTTTTGTCATTTACACATATTTTGTGGAAATTGAAAATATAATCATTAATAAATTTAATTACTAATATTAAATAGTTCCCGTAATTGTCTAAATTATGGTTTCTGTTAAAAAATCAAAATAAAATTAGTCAGTAATTAAAGAATCCGTAAAACTCAACTTTTTATGAGACATCTTACATTATTAGAAATGCTTACTTTACATGTAAATGAAGCTCGATTTAACTAAAAATTAAGTTACAATAGTTACTTAAATGTAATAAACGTGTACATTAAATTTATGAAATTTAATGTACTTTTAATATAATTTTATGAAAAATACATTAAATTTAATAGATTTTCATGAAAAATCTATTAAATTTTATGTACATGTACACAAATATATTTTTTAGTTATAAATACATTAAATTTAATGTAATGTCATGAAATTAAATTCAAATTGTGTAATGTAAAAGTATATTTAAAAAAGTATATTAAAAAAGTATATTAAAAATATATTAAATTTCATGAAATTTTTAACAATATAAACTGTATTATCGATGATTACATGGTTTCGAATGCCATTACTTTTCACAGTTTTATTTAGTTGACGATCTTATCTTCTGTCAGATTCTTCATTAGTTATGTATTAGGTATGTAATAACTTACGCTCACCCGCGTATTGTATAATTCTCATAAAAAGAAATCTATGTCGCAAGATAGGAATAAATTACCTTTTATATAAGCAAAGAGAAGATATTTAAATATAATATAGATCTGACTGATCCGGCTTGTTCCTCTTTTTTTTCTAT